TGGCCGCGTACGCGGCAGGTGCACCTCGGGCAGGCCTGCCGCCCGACCCGGCGGAGGTGGGGCCCTCGTACACCACCCAGTCCGCTGGAGCTGGAGGTGGCGCGCGGCCCTCCCACGGGGCTGCGTACCTGGGGGCGGCCCGCCGTACTTCCTCTGCCCGTTCACCTGCACCAGGCGCACGCCCGTCTCCCGGACCCACGCCTCCAGGGCTGCCTTGTTCTCGGGATTCACCCTCTCACACCATTGCTGCGGGAAGCAAGTTGGAATTGCGCACGGGCGAACCCCCGCCCTGCAAGATTTAGAGTCCCCGGGGCCGCCACAGCCTACGCGACCGCAGGGGAATCCCTCCGCCACCACCTACCTCGCACTCGCGTTTGGACTGCATGGCTGCGCTGCGGCCTCGCCGCACCCTCTTTATATGTTCCTCCCTCCCCCCCGCCCCACAGTGGTAGGCCTCTGGAACCTTCTCTGCCCTCTGCCCCAAGCGCTCATTGGCTGAGCACGGCCCCGCCTCTCGGGGGTGGAGCCGCACGTGCGCCCAGCCCTCCGACCCTCGGTGGAAAACTGGAAACTCTGGCGCAGGGCGGTGGACGGCAGCCGCCTGGTGAGCGGCTCAAACCCGGTGGGTGGACGCCACAAGCAGGAACCTCGAGGGAGCCCTGCACCCTGCGGTGTCTTCTTCCCTTTTCCACACACGAAGTGATCTGAATGAGTGGCTCAAGAGGTTGGTGGGGGAGGCCGACGAGGGATCAGTGACACATTGTTCAAAGGTTGAGGCATTTTATTGGATCTTTGGCGAAATGTATGGTAGGAGGGCATCTGTTCTGTTGGAATGGGGCTCTGGGGATGAGACGATGTTAGGCCTGTCCACGTAGTTCAGGAGGCGGACTGGCCTAATTACCCATGGCGTTCTGCAGAAAGTTGTGTAGTACCTAGTCATCTGCCAATCATAATAAAAATAAAAAAGTCTTTGTTCTGACCACTCTTCAGGTCTTCTTGCTGGAACAAAAGTGTGCAAAACTGTTTAAGCACAAATGCAGTTTTAGCCTCAAATAGTATCAGTCCCACCTTCCTCTGACAGTTTGCTTGGCTCAGCAGATGCAGAGAGGCTGGCTTGTTCTTCTTCTAATTTCCTCCACAAGGTCTTCTCTCCGGACATCCACCTGGCCACGACGAGGGAAGAAAGTGGGATGAGCACTTTCCCCTCCAGTGTTCTCTAGGGCCCTCCCTAGTCATCTGGTTTGGCTCAGCTGGGATCAGGACCCAGTCAGACACCCCTCCTGAGGAGACTGCCCCCTGGGAGCCAGAAAGAAAAGGGGTTCTGTGCATGCGGGGACTGGAGATCTTACCCAACACCACCACCACAGTAATAGATTAAGCCCTTAGATCCTTTTCAAGTTGGTATTATGTGTCAGGCTTTTGCTCAAGTCTCATATGGGCAGGGGCCTACCAACATAGCATACATTCCTTGCCCCTAAGCCTTCCTGCCTTCCCCTCTTACCTCTTCCCTGCTGGCCACTGAACGCAGCTTGATGACCCCGTCCTTGAGCTCCTGCTCACCAATTATGGCCACCAGTGGGATGCCTGCTTCCTCACAGTACTGCAGCTGGTTCAGTAACTTTGGGTTCTTTTTGTAGAGCAGCTCGGCCTATGAGGGACCAGGATAGAAGATAAAAGCTGGCTTTTGTCCAGGGATATAGTTCAGCAGCACAGCGCCTGCCTGGCAAGTGCAAGGTCCTAATTTCGATTCCCGGTACAAAGACAAAAGCTGGCTTCCTTCTGTCTTCAGGGACAACCCCCTGGGGGCCCAAGCTGGTACTCTGGTCTTAGTTCTACCCCAAGAAGTAGTGACAGAAGGTACTACGGATGAACTAGCACACTAGTTTTGTACCTAGCTTTTGTACAAAACTATGTTTGTGCCCAGCACACCCAAATCTCCTGCCATCATGGGGATTGCCTCCCCATACCTTGACACCAGCATCCCATAGCTCTGAGACAAGCTTCAGTCTCTCTTCTAGTAGCTTCTTCTGTGCAGATGCCACAAGCACCTGTGTCTCTGTGGTCCGCACCTTCTCCTCTGAAGCCTAGTGCAGGAGCAAATAGGAGTCAGAGAGCTGGGCTAAAACCATCACAGTGTAAAGCAAAGGCTGCAGTCAAGATTCGGACAGATGACTGAGGTCCACCTCAATGAGCCCTACCAGGACAGGAAATGGTTTTCTCACTTAGCAGTTGGGCATAAGGTAGCCCTTACAAGATTTAAGAAATCAGTTGAGAGTCAGGCATGGTGCTACACGCCTGTAATCCCAGCACTCAGGAGGCTGAGGCACAAGGATCACTGTGAGTTCAAGGCCAGCCTGGGATACATGAGTTCAAGGCCAGCCGGAATTACATCGTGAGACCCTGTCTCAAGAAAAAGAAAAAAAAGAAAAAAAGATTGACTTGTACAGGACTTGCCAGAGTAAGTAATCTAGCCAGGCATGGTGGTACATGCCTGCAATCCCAGCACTCGAGAGGCTGAGGCAGGAGGATGGTTGCGATTTCGAGACCAGCCTGGGTTACAAAGTGAGCTCAAGGCCAGCCTGAACTGCAAAGCAAGACCCTGTCTCAAAAAAGGACAAAAAAAAAAAAAAAAAAAACAAACCGAAAAAAACCAGAATAAGTAATCTAGGGCAAGGGCAAGAACAAGGGCAAGGGCAGTTTATTCACATTCAAGTTCATTTCCATCCAGCAGTTTATGGGTCCATAAAAACATTCACAAAGAAATATCATGAGCCCAGCCTGGAAATCAAAACACCCCGGGCATTCTAGTCCCCACCTACTACCTACTTGCCCATCCATGAGACCATGCCTCTCATGGGGCAGACCTCAAAGTGTGTGTGGATGAGGGGCCGGACTTGCGCCTCCCCCAGATTGGGAAGTTCGAGAGGGTTCCCCACCCTCCGCCCAGGTCGGGAAGCGGGAGCCAGCCCCAAGGTGGTGCCCCTTGATTCTTATGCAAAACTATTTTCAAAGTTCTTACAACGTAAGATATCTATTGGAACAATGATGTCAACTGAGAAACTTGGGTGGTGTCTACTCTAGGAAAAAGGGACAGGAATATTGGGAAGGATACCAGAGCATTCATGAGGATGAAATGCAACCAGTCATTTAAGAGCAGTAGCAACACAGGAGGGCTTGAGGCCATGGCGGGCTTTCCTGGAGTTATTCTAGGTACTGGAGTCAAGGCAGCCTGAGGGACCCCAAGGCCTGACGTATGCTTCTAAATGAGTGGCAGGATTACAGTGTGGTTAGGAGCCAGACACTACCTAGATTCAAAATGTTTAGTATCCTGTCATGAGGAAGATCTGGGTTTTGGACATAGCAGCCCAGATTCCTGATGGCCCTAGGAAAAGTTGGGTTCCAGAGCAGAGATCTAGTGGAGAAAGAAGACCAGAGATCCACAAAACTGGCCTCTAATGGGGTGAGACTATAAGGGCAGTGATCATTTCTTCTATTTCTCTGAGACGCTGCTCTAAAGGAAATCAGTCCACCAGGAACCACCACCTGCCCAGACTGTCCTGAAGACCTACCTCCAGTCTCTGCTCCACAATAGAGAAGATTCGTTCCACTCCAATGCTGAGCCCCACGCAGGGAACCTTGCGCCCTTTGGCATCGAACATGCCCACCAGCCCATCATAGCGCCCTCCAGCAGCCACACTGCCCACACCCAGGGGCTCTTCCCCTGCCTGGGCTGGGGTCTGTAGCAGCATGGCTTCATAGATTACCCCAGTATAGTAGTCCAGACCTCGAGCAAGGCTTAGGTCAAAGGAGATCTGTGGAGATGAGGACATGGTCAGTACCAGATTAAGATCAGAGACCTGAAGGCTCACAGGTCAACCAGGACTCACACCTGCAACCTGACTCACCTTGTCAGCAATGCCAAACAAGGTTAGATACTCAAATAGTAGCTTCAGATCTTCCAGACCTTCCAAGGCCTGCTTGTTTTGGGACAGTTTAGGATCTTGGAGCAGTTGTTCTACCAGGGACACTCCACCTGGGAAGACAAATTTGAGGCAGACCAACGAAAGAAAAAGGCAGTGGAGGTCCACCTTGTCACCTAGACTGCAAGCACATGTGCACATGCACACGTGTGCGTGTGCCCATTGTAACATTCAGTCTGTGGGCAGCGGGGTGGGTGCTGGGGAGCGAGACTGGGTTCTGATTCTCACCATGTTGCTGGACGTAGTCCCCAATGCGGTCGGCCACCTCAGGTGCAAGACCCTTCTCTGCCACCATCTCACTCTTCACGTCCTCCCAGGACACCTGGACAGACAGATGACAGTCAAGAACTCCTGAGCAGCTTTCCTGCCACAAAGCAAGTACGGCCCCTCCTTGGGGAGCAGTCAGAGCTGAAGCTGCCCTTTAACCTGGCATAATCTCTTCAGGTGGGCATGGAGACAGGTGCCTCTTTCAATCTTCTTTTCCTTTTTTATTTTGGTACCGAGGATTGAGCTGAGGGTCTTTGCACTGAGCTAACATGCCCAGCCTTTTAAAAATTTATCATTATTAATTTTATTTTGAGAGAGAATCCCAGTAAGTTGCCAAGTTGCCCAAGAGGGCTACAACCCTCCTGCCTTTGCCTCCCAGAGTACTGGGTTTACAGGCATGCACCATACCTGTCTTTTGTTTTTTGAGATAGGGTCTTGCTATATATAGCCCAGGCTGGCCTTGAACTCAACAGTGACCTTCCTGCCTCAGCCTCCTAAGTGCTGGGATTACAGGTGTGTGCTACCACGTCCAGTTATACAGTGTCTTATTTTCTATTTCTCAAGGCAGGGTAGGATTTGGGAAGAGTAGAGCCAGGAACTTAGTCACCTTGTCCAGCTTGTCCACTGAGGAACAGATGGTACGGAACTTGCTATCAGGAACACCACAGATGGCAAACATCCCATCTAGGATTCGCCGGTCATTGACCTGTAGGGACCGAAGGCATCGTGAGGAGGGAATCTCTTTCCTTTTACATGACCCTCAATAGCCTTCAGTATTTGTCCTTCTGCCAGACCCAGCTTTGCCCTCCCAGCCTTGTTTATCTCTGACCTTGACCAGGAAGTCTCCTATCTGAAGTGAACTCAGGATCTCACACATGATCTTCAAGCATTCTGCATCGGGGATCATAGGGTCAAATTGCCCAGCAATGTCAAAATCCTGCAGGGTAAAGGGGTAACCAGAGTTCCTCAGGGCTTCAGTGGCTTTAAGGGGGAACTTGTGAGCTCTGCTGGCTCTAGGAAGGCCTGCCTGCACACAAGCACACACTTCTTCCTTTTGCTCTCTGGCCATCAGCTCAGAGAAAAAGCCCAGCATTCTTGGGCCTCTCAACCAGTCCCGGTGTCATCTACTGGGATATTTTTCTTCTTTATTTTCTTCTTCCCTAATTCCTTGTACTGTGTAGGACAATTATCCAGTGTGAATCCTTAATTTTTCTGTTTATCAGAAGTTCTCTTTTCAGTCTGGATGATACGATATCTGAAACTGAATTTTCCCACCGCCTGCTATGATCCTGTCACTGAGGTTTAATAGGAAGAACACTGAACACAGATTGCCTGTCTTATCTCTATGAGCACTTCATCTGCTGAATATCAAGTTATTCATGTAAAATGGAGGAAATCCCTCTCCTTCATACTCCATAAGGCCACTGAAGTCTACATGAAAAGACCACAGAAAGCTAAAAGAGTATTTTCTGGAATATCCAGTTTGCTCAGAAAACCACAATATTCAATATATTCTACTAGCCTGAGGGGGGCCCAAGTTATGCATCCTGTCCCCACTTCACCCCCGGCTTCCCGACACTCACACACTGGTAGAATTCCCGGTACCGGCCACGGGTCATGGCTGGGTTATCCCGCCGATACACCTTTGCTATGTGGTAGCGTTTAATGTTGGTCAGCTTATTCATTGCCAAATACCGAGCAAAAGGAACCTGATGATAGAGAGTTAAGGAGAAAGCCCCTCCTATTGCTGTTTGGAAGTTATCATCTCTCACAGATGCTGGAGTCTAACCTCTCCCTGTGTGGGTACAACTACTATCAGTAAGATTAACAGCATTTCCGAGTATCAGAAAGAATCAATGGTGCTACTCCCACTGGGCAGCTGAAGTCTCAGAAAAATTAAGACAGTGTCTGCCCTAGACAATGCCAAGTACATTGGGTTGGGCAAACTGGACACAGCAAACCAAGGGCCTCATGTGGGATAATTAAGCAGATGATTCTCTGTATAACTTGGAGAGAAAGGAAATGTGTTACTCAATTAAGAGAACTCTGTCCACTGGACAGGGCAGGGAAAAAGTTTCCTGTAACCAGGGAACTGCTGTACAACTAGGAACTGGGCCCTAACATAAAGCTCAGGTCTCACTCAGGATTCACACTTCTAAGACTATGATTTGTTTAATCAAGGGTCCCACACTGGTTTAGAGATGTAATTTTCCTCACTGTCAAAGGCTTTATATTTAATCTTACCTATATCTTCCTGTCCCTAAATCTGAGGCTAGACATAGCCTCAGCCCAGTGAAGGTCAATCCATCCAAAGTCTCAACAGCCCATGTTTACACTTAATCTTAGTCAAAAGGCTGAGATGTGATGAGAGAGCCCAAGTTTAGAAAGATACAGTGAGGTCATAACGCAGGGACAGCAGCTCCCCACCCTGGTCCTTCAGGTCATAGATAAGCTTAGAGTCTTCTCCATACTTTCCAGTCAAGGTTTCCTGGAGAGGAAAAAAATGTCATAATCATCACAAAAACATTTATTTATTTATTTATTAAAATTTTTTGTTTCTTTGTACATTTTGAGACAGGGTCTTGCTATGTAGTTCAGGCTGGCCTTGAACTCACTTTGTAACATAGGCTGGCCTCAAACTTACAGTGATCCTCCTACCTCAACCTCCCAAGTGCCGGGATCACAGGCATGCACCACCACGCCTGGTGAAAATAGAACAATTTTTTTTTTTTTTTTTTTTCTTTTTGAGACGGTCTTGCTATGCAGTTCAGGCTGGCCTTGAGCTCACTTTGTAGCCCAGGCTGGTCTTGAACTTACAGCAATCCTCCTGCCTCAGCCTCCTGAGTGCTGGGATTTATAGGTGTGTATTACCACGCCTGGCTGAAAATAAAAAAAATTTAAAAGGTTTTGAAAACAAAAACCCACCACCCAAACATGACTAATTTTGACTATTCTACATTTTTGTTGAGACTGGAAATTAAAATCTACTGTCTCTAACTTAATCTGAAACTAAACCCATGGAAAGACCCAGGGAAAAGGGAGTTCAGGAAAAGGAAAGAGCAAGAACCAAGGCCCTGCTGGGCATAGTGGTATACACCTATAGTCCCAGCACTTTGGGAAGCTGAGGCAGGAGGATCTCAAGTCTAAGCCCAGCATGGGCAACTTAGCAAGACCCCATCTCAAAAAAGGACTGAAGATATAGCTTAATGTAAGGGCCTGAGTTTAACTCCCAGTATCACCAAAAAAAGTGTGAGAGAGAGATGGGGTAGGGTGGGGAGAGACAGAGAATTTACAGCTGGGTGAAGTGGCACACAGCTGTAATTCTAGCATATGGGAGGCTGAGGCAAGAGGATCTCCATGAGTTTCAGGCCAGTCTAGGGCTACATAGTGAGTTCTAGGTCAGTGTGATTACATAGCAAAAACAAAAACAAAAACAAAAAAAAGAGAGAGAAAATTTAAATTGTATTGTAAGTGTTTTATGGTTTTTAAACAGGGAGTGATACAATTTGATTTCTAATGGCAAAGAAACAGAAACTACCTTCATCAATAGGAGACTGATTACATGTTTATTCTTTACATACATATAGTTTGCATTTATAGAAAACATTCGTAGTATAGATATTGTAGAATTCAGTATAAACAGGAGTCAGAACAATTTCTTTCCTTCTTTTTTTCTTCTCTTTTTGAGACAGGGTTTCATTATGCAGTTCAGGCTGGGCTCAAACTCACTTTGTAGCCCAGGCTGGTCTCAAACTCAAAGTAATCCTCCTGCCTCAGCCTCCCAAGTGTTGGGATTACAGGTGTGTACCACCATGCCTGGCTAACATTTTCTATTCCTAAGAAGGGCTATCTTTTGGAAGCTGCTGGCCACCACCAACCAAGATAAATAAAAAGCAATGCCTCTTTCTCCAAGGTACTGTCACATTTTTTACTGAAAAAAATACCAGCCCCTTCCCAAGATAACAAGATAACTCTTGTTATCTTCTGTTACTCACAGACCTGTTCTTCTACCCTTTGGTTTCTCTTTACACATCTCTCACCTTTAGTTCAAACACAGGTGTGTCGATCACTTCTGCACCATGGCGTTTGAAGCAGCGGATGATTACATCAAAGACCTTCTCCCTAACTGCCATCTGCCGGGGACTGTAGTCTCTTGTGCCCTTGAAGTCAAAATCAGCCAAAGGACAAGGCATGAGATTTAAAAGAACATAAGTTCCAGAAATATAAAAGGATGATCTCAACAATAAGGAAAGCAAATCCTGCCCCAAATTTAGATTTTTCCTACAGGTCACTGTAAAACGAGTACAAATAGTTCCCTATTACTATAATTCCTATGAATTATATCAGCCTTCTAAATTCCATTTCTCTAGAATGGAATAACCAATTCAAACTGGCTCAACAAGTTAAAGTATAAATTTTACAAACAACTTTTCTTTCCCAACATCATTTTCTTTTAAATTCTAATTAATACTACTATTTGTTCTCTAATTTACTTTCAACAACCAGCCCGAAGAGAGAGTTTGGACAAATACATTTTATATAAATTACAGGATGTTGAGAAGCCACTACCTAAGGCTACTCAGCAGGCCTGTGGCAGGAGAACTCTGTTCTCCTTCCAGATTGGAGGTTTTAGTCTGAACTTTTAGAATCTACTCCAAAGTCTTTGGTCTTAGAACCTCTTTATGCTGTTATAATTAATTATCAATATTTACTGTTAGAAATTAAAACAACAACAATTTTGTAAGTATTTATTAATATATCAATGACATGTTGACACAAATAATGTTTTAGGAAAGTATATTTTTTAAAACAAAAAAATTAGGGGCTGGGGATTTAGCTCAACGGCACAGCGCCTGCCTGGCAAGCACAAGGTCGTGAGTTCGATTCCTGGTTCCGGAGAAAAACCAAAAAAACCAAAAAACAAACAAACAAAAAAACCCCAAAAAATTAGTTAAAAATGGCATTCATCACATCTTTGCAAATCTTTAATGTCTGGCTTACTAAAGGACAGCTATATGAGATTTTGTATCTAATTCTGTTGTAATATATTGTTCTGGTTGAAGTATATAAAGAAGATCTAACCTAACACAGCTATGTCTCCATAAAATGAGTTTGCTTGTTTTTTGCGGTACTGGAGATTGAATCCAGGGCCATGCTAGATAAGCACCCTGCCACTGAGTTACATCCTCAGCCCCATTTCCCAGAGTCAACAACCAATAACATCTGTTATTTCTATTTCATTTAAACTGACACTTTTTTCTAAAGTATTTTAACATAAATCTCAGACATCCTATCATTTTCATCCACTAATATTTCAGTATGATTTGCAACTGCATACGGACTTTAAGAAAACCTAAAACACTCCAATGTCGTTATTATAACCAACAAAACTAATAGCAACCCCTTAATACTATCTCATACCAAGCCATGTTCAATTTTCCCTGACTGCCTCAATAACATTTTTTTGTGGTGGCTTATTTGATTCAGATTCTAAACAAAGTCTATGGATTTCATCTAGTTGATAGGGCCATTTAATCTACAACAGTTTCATTTCTTTATTTTTCTTTTTTGTGGTGCTCGGAATCAAACCCAGGACCACACACATGCTATGCATGTGCTCTACCACTGAGCTATAGATCACTAGCGTTCCCTGTTTTTCTTTTCAAGTCATTTATTTGTTGAGGAAATTGGTCATTTGTTCTAATTTTTTTTTCATATTTTAGATCTGGTTAATAATATCCTCAAATGTGTCTTTTAGATTTGGTTAGAAATATCCTTGAGGTGTCATTTGTTGTGTTCCTCTGCCTCTAGTATTTCCTGTAGAACAGACAGTCTGAAGTCCTCATTAGATTCAAATTCAAATTCTCTTGGCAAGAATGCTTTATAGGTGGTGCTGTTTATTTCTTATTGCACCACAGCAATAGGAAGATAATTTCTGGTTGTCCTGCTTAGCATTAATAAGATTGATCACTGGGTTACGTGAGGATAGATTGATATATCAAATTCCCTTTTAAGTTTTTACATTATTCACTAGTTTGAATATGAATCTCATCACTGTTTTGGGATTTTATACCGTTTCTCTTTAAGCTTTGAAAAAGTCTTCTGTGTAGAAAGGAACACCTCAATAAATTTAGGAGCCCAAAGAATTAATCTTCACATGAGGAAGCAGATCATCGTCACTCTCTTTTAGTACTCAATTTCAAATACATTCATTAAATACCTATTTATTGAAAGGCACTTGGTCTCAGCCTCCCCAGCAAATAAAGTATATGAATAACTATGAGAAATCAGTGCAATAGAAGATATACATATATATGTATATATATATGAAGATATATATGTATATATACGAAAATACATATATAGATATAGATATATAAAGTGTCAAGGGAACCTAGATAAAGAGGTAAATAGTTCTGTCTACAGAACTTACAGAAAGTGGCATTTGAACTGAAATTCTAAAGGATGAGCTAGGAATCGCCAACTTCATTCCAGGCTACTTTCCTCCTCTATTTGGTTCTAGTTGTGTAGGTCTTCTAGTTCCTGAAAACTACCAAATCTCTTCACTGTTTCCAGGTTTCCAAACTTCTGGCCTAACCTTCCTTATTCTTTTTCCTTACTTATCACCTGCCCATCTGTTAGGTCCATTAACATGTTACTCCCTCGGGTGAGGTTTTCTCAGACTCTCCAGCCCCCTTTCGTTTTTTCAGAACACTCTTGTTAATTTCTTTCTAATCACAATCTGTAATTACATATTCATGTGTTAGACTATTGGTCTTAAATCTGTCTCTTAAAGTAGACTATAGGCCTATGAGGGCAGGCTATATTGTCAACCACGGCATATTCAGTGCTTTATACCATGCTAGGGACACAGTAAGCACGCAATGAGTATTTACTGAAAAAGGAGTAGCAGCAGCAGGCCAACTCCCCCGAGCACTCAGTTGGCCTCATTTCTGTCATCACTTTGCTATCCCAGAATGACTCAGAGTTCAACCCACCCCAGTGCCCAGAGAAACTATTGTTTCCTGTAATATTTCAGACCCTCCTTAGTGACCTAGTTCAGGGAAGCCAATATATGTGCCCTTGCTACTGGAGTTAGAGACTCTCTCTGAGGCCCCCTATAGGAATGACATTACAGTACCTTGGGGGTTTTGAGCACAAACTTATGTTTGCTTTCATCAGGGCCCAGCTGTGCCTTCAGTTTCAGGAGTTTTGTCACTTCTTCCTCGATCTGTGGAGGGAAAAAAGCCGCTGGACTATCGATCCGTCACTCCCTCCCCGCTCCCGGCCATTCATTCCACATACCTCCCTCATCAGAAACTGAGGCGGGTCTGTCTGCCTTGGCCTAGCCTTGCTTCTCTCGGGACCTACCGTAGTTATCTCAACACCCAGCCCATCCTTCTTCCTGCCAGCCCAATCCTTTCCTTCACAACCCTGTCCTCTGTCCAGACGACCCGGCTTCACGTCCTCGCTCACTTTGCCTGCACCCCACCTACTGCCTGGGCCGTACCTGCTCGGCGTTGGCCTTCTGCTGCTTGAGGCCCCGCACACGCTCTCCTTGAAGTCGCACCAGCTCCTCCAGCGAAGGACAATTTGCCATCCTGGTGGCCACCTGGAGCAGACTGCTGTCTGGACCGGCCTTGGGAGACCCAGCCGCAGTCAGGATGACTTCCGGCTATCGAGTCGCGGGCCCGCAGGCCTAGAGAGCCTCCGTCCGGTGCTAAAAATCATTTCCGGGTCAGGGGTTCTGGGAAAACCGGAGTTCGCCGTGTGGGACTAGTTCTCTGTTCCTTAGACTTGGACTGCGCATCTCTAGCACCATACTCCCTCTCTGGGTGTATTCTGCTTCATTCCCGGACTTTGGCTATTGTTTCTGAAAGCCGTGTACCGCCGCAGGATGCCCCGGTTGGGACTCTTGCCCCGGAGGGCTTTCGCGGCGCTGCTCAGCCAGCTCCTACGACCTCCCCGCACTGCGTGCGTTCGGGCGCTCGGTGGCCATAGCCAGGTGAGCCAAACAGAGATAGCTCTGGCCTACTGGGGAAGGACCCCTGGGTCTAAGGTATGGACAGTTAGGACAGTTGGTTTTTATTGAGCACCCGCTGTGTAGCGGCACTGAACCAAGCATTTTGGATGCTTTGTTATTTAATATCTAGCGCTGTTTTGAGAGGTTGGGGCTTTCCATTTTAGAGTTGAGAAAACAGACTGCAAGGTTGAATGACTACCTGTACATCGTAGCAAGCTAATATTTTAATGCAGGTCTCCATTTCATTAACCGAAGTTCGTAGAGCCGCCCCTTAACATTTGTAAGCAAAATATATGGATATTCCTAGTGAATGAGATAGCTAAAGACAACGAGTAGATTGAGTTCGTATTATCTTAAAGTGAATTTGAGAAAAACATGGTGAGTTTTCAGAGAAGTTTTAGTTTGAGAATTATAGATAGGGTGGGGGGAGTTGTGGACTTGAATAGGACTTCTCTTTGGGCGAGAAATTGCAGTAAGAAACTAGCATACCTCAGTTGCTGGAAGGGCTTACAGCCTGCCGGTAGTATTCGAGACAATGATTCTGTTTTGTCTTATTTCAGAAAGTCCCTAAAGTCCTCTTAGCAGATTCTTTGTACTGTCATGAACAACAGAGTTAAGCTCTTGTAATTTTTAGTCACAGCATCCTACAAGTTTTTGAGTTCATTTTGAGTTCAAGGTTCTGTGTTGTTAGGCTTTATTCAAATCACATTTACCTTATCTCCAAGCCTGATAAATAGATCTGTCTTACTAAGAATTCTTATTTCTGCTGTTTGAATATTAACTGAGAACTGGCATACTTATTCCTGCTCCTATACCAGGAGTGGGGCAGTGGAGGTGGTAATGGTATTTTGTTTTGTGCCTTCATTTTTCCCATGTGCTTAAACTTTTTCATACATTCAAAAACTTCCAATACAGTAAAGAGTGATAAAGACTTGACTTCATATATATTGCATGTAAAATTGTAGATACAGTGTGGGTTCTGAGATCAAGATAGAAAAAGTGGTGCTCTGGCTTCCTGTTCCTCAGGGTCACTGATCTTGCAGGCTGGTGGTCCATAGGTTCAGAGATGTCATAGGTCTGCCCAGTGTCCAGCAAAACTACATTTTATATTTCTTCTTCTGCCAGATTGCGGAGGCAATGGTAACATCCCAACTGAAACCACATCAAGAGAAACCAAGTTTCATCATCAAGACCCCAAGGGTAATGTCCTTTACCCATCTTATCCCATTAGAATACCATGGAGAACTGATGTCTGCTGTACTTATCTCTGTAACTTCTTATAAGGCCTTTTTGAGCTAAGTTTCAAACAAAAGTGAAAACAAAAACCTTTTCTATCTTGATGCACTAGATGAGGCTCAGAGTTATCTGAACTAAAGGAATTTCAGGCCAAGTGTGGTAGTGCAAACTTGTAACCCCAACTGCTTGGGAGGATGAGGCAGGAGGATCACAAATTCAAGACCAGCTTGGGGCAATGTAGCAAGACTCTGTCTCAAAAATAAAAAGGAGTAGGGAAGTAGCTTATTGGTAGAGTGTTTGCCAACATATGCAAGTTCCTGCAATCTACAGAAAAAGGAAAGTGAAAAGGAAATACAAAAAAGCAAATTCAGTCTATACCTTACCTTACAGGTATAATTTAACTCTTTGTTTTAAATGGACTTGTTTTTTGTTTGTACTATGACTGCTTTTGGTTTTCAGGGCACCAGGGATCTTAGTCCCCAGGAGATGGTTGTGAGGGAGAAAATTCTTGATATGGTTATCAGTTGCTTTAAACGTCATGGAGCAAAGGGATTGGATACACCAGCATTTGAGCTAAAAGTAAGGGGAAAAGAATGTCTGGAATCCCTTTTCTTCAGTGTTCCAGAGGGCTTCTCATCTGTGTTCTGGAGTTATCTTTTGAACTGTGGCTCTTTCCGTTTGATTCCTGCAGGAAGTGCTCATGGAGAAGTATAATGAGCAGTCTGGGCTCATCTATGATCTGGAGGATCAAGGTGGAGAGCTGTTGTCCCTTCGTTATGACCTTACTGTATCCTTCTAAGTGCTGGAGCCTAACTTGTTTCTTTCCAAATCCAGAGGACTTTTCTGACACAAAGGGAGGAGCATGACTATGGGAAAATATGGCTCCATTGGCAGTAGCCTTTACTTCTAGTTTCTTCCACAAGTCAATTCTGCCAGCAGAGCCTGGCCTGGAGACCTCTCATTTAACTTCATTGTCTATCTGAATATCTAAGGGAAGCTTGCTGAAACATTCCTAGCTCCAGGGATTCTTAATTCAGTAACAGGAATACGATTCAAAAACTAATTAAAATGCATATGGTCCTTGGCATACACTTTCAGAAATAAAGGTTTGATATTGGAAACAAATGCAGGCTATGAAGCCTGAACACTATTTAGAGATAGTTGGATATTGGTCTGATTGGGAGAAAATGGCTAAGACCTTGGGTCATTTCTATTTCTTCTACATTCTGCTCAACTTTCAGTTTTGCTAGGTGAGATTCCTTCATTTGACACTATTCAGTATGTTTTGAATGCCAAGTACTGTCAAATCTTGGAGACAGTGGGAAACAAGATAGAGAAGGTCCTTGTTCTTATCCTATTGGATAAGATAAAATAGTGGTTCAGTGTCGTTTAATGTCTACATGCTGGACCTAAGCGTTGGCTGCCATATCGTCCTTAACCTAGTTATGTGAGGTCCCCTTTGCTCGTTATCTGGCTATGAATAAACTGAAGAAGATGAAACGCTACCAAGTTGGAAAGGTGTGGCGAAGGGAGAGTCCAACTATGGTCCAAGGCCGCTATCGGGAGTTCTACCAGTGTGTAAGTGACCTGATGGGGACAGCATAGTTTGATAGTTAACCTGGGAATTGGTTGATCAGTGGAGGTTTTTTTCTGTCTTTCTTTGCTGTAGGATTTTGATATTGCTGGTCAGTTTGACCCTATGATCCCAGATGCAGAATGTTTGAAGATCATGTGTGAAATCCTAAGTGGGTTGCAGCTGGGAGACTTTCTCATTAAGGTAAGGCCAAGACTAAGTGAAAAGTCTGGATTTGGCTCGTGTGTGTGTGTGTGTGTGTGTGTGTGTGTATGAGTGCTCCTCCTGTGAGATTACCTTTTTGTCCATTTTACAAGTCTGAGAGTTAGGAACTGCCATGGTTTTCAGGGAAAGGACCTTGACAAGACCCTTGGGTTTCACTGAGTTTACAGGTCAATGACCGGCGGATTGTAGATGGGGTCTTTGCTGTCTGTGGTGTTCCTGAAAGCAAGTTCCATACTATCTGTGCCTCGATGGACAAACTAGACAAGGTAATAAAGACCTTACCTAGGTTTCTGCCCTGCTCTGAAATTCATACTATTAGACAAAAATAAAGAGATAGTGGCTGAAGTGAGCTGAATATAGGAGGAAGGTGAGGAGACATTCTGATGCAAGGTCTGAGTTGTATAGTGGGGATTGTGACTGGGTTTCTTAGCTGCCTCTGATTTTTCTGAGCATACTATTAGCTACCTAGGATGACCATACTAAATGAAACTGAAATGTCCTTTTCTAGCAAGAGAAAGAAGGACTTGGGGCTGAGGTAATGTTTGGGTGTTTATGCAGATATCTTGGAAAGGTGTGAGACATGAAATGGTGGCACAGAAAGGCCTGGCTCCTGAGGTAGCTGATCGAATTGGGGACTACGTCCAACATCATGGTAAGAACCAGGATTTTCAGAGCTGTGACAGAATCAGGCTGAGGGTGACCAGTGTTCAGCTTTTACCTCTGAATAAGCTCCCTTTTGCAGATGTGTTAAATTCCAGAGTCTGGCCTGAATTTAATGTCCCTTTTATTTATTGTAACGACTTTGTGTCTTTAGATGGCAGAGGTAGAGGAGGGTGTGATCATCATCTTTTTAAAGAAAAAAACAAAAAACAAATAAACCAGAAGGACTAGCTAGAGCACTACTTAAAAGATCAATTTGGTAAAGCACATCTTCGGTAAATGCGCAGGTCTTCTTTTCTACCACTTTTTCCTCCAGGTGGTGTATCTTTGGTAGAGCAGATGCTCCAGGATCCCAGACTATCCCAGAACAAGCAGGCCTTGGAGGGGTTAGAGTCCCTGAAGCTTCTTTTTGAATACTTGACTTTATTTGGAATCACTGAGAAGGTAGGTTGAGTTGGGAGTAGACCTACTGCATTCAAGAGCTGAGCTCTGGGGCTGTCACAATCTGGTGTCGGGGGCCGGGTGTGGTGGGCATGCCTGTAATCCCCGCACTCGGGAGGCTGAGGCAGCAGGACTGTTGCGAGTTCGAGACCAGCCTGGACTACAAAGTGAGCGCAAGGCCAGCCTGAACTGCATAGCCAGACACTGTCTCAAAAAGACAAAAAAAAACCCCAAAAAGCAAAAAACAATCTGGTAGGGGACTGATTATAACCTAACCCCACAGATCTCCTTTGACTTGAGTCTTGCTCGAGGCCTGGACTACTATACAGGAGTGATCTATGAAGCAGTTTTGCTACAAACCCCAGCTCAGGTTGGAGAAGAGCCCTTTAATGTGGGCAGTGTGGCTGCTGGCGGGCGCTATGACGAGCTGGTGGCCACATTTGACCCTAAGGGCCATAAGGTGCCATGTGTGGGACTGAGCATTGGAGTAGAGCGAATCTTCCACATTGTGGAACAGAGGATAAAGGTATGTCTTAGGGGTGAGATGGTGCTGGGGGCCTAAAATCCTGCTTTTAGAGGTGTAACTAGACTTTTTTCTGACAGTTTTTTTGTCTTGTTTTTGGAATTTCTTGTGCAAGGGAAATTTTCATTAGTTTTACTTTCTTTTCTGTCATGTATCAGACTTCTGGTGAGAAAGTACGGACCACAGAGACCCAGGTGTTTGTGGCCACACCCCAAAAGAACTTCCTCCGACAACGGTTAAAGCTAATTGCAGAGCTTTGGGATGCTGGGATCAAGGTATGGTGGAGCTCATATCTGGGTATATGTGGAACTCAGGAGCAAGAGTGGAAGTCAAGGCCTTTTAAGTTTACTAGCAGAGAGCTAGGCACTTATTTCTGCCTTTTTAAAAAAATACATGTTTTGGGGATTTATGTGTTATGATCACTCTTAAGTCCCCTACTCTATTTTAATCCTTTTTAGGCAGAGATGCTATATAAGAATAATCCCAAACTACTAACCCAACTGCACTACTGTGAGAACACAGGCATTCCCTGGGTGGTCATCATTGGTGAGCAAGAACAGAAGGAAGGGGTCATCAAGCTCCGGTCAGTGGCCACCAGAGAGGAGGTGAGTGGGGGCTGATAGAAATAGAAGCGAACAGGTGTTTCTCCCTTTCTTTGATTTTTTTAAGAAATATGTCTTCTGGGTGAGGAAATAAATACCTTTGGGGCTAAGAGTGGAGTAGAGATGAATGAAGTCCCATCTCAAGCAGTTACTGCAGCCAGCAAGTATTGGCTAAGTGGGCAGGAGGAGGACAAGTGAAATCTGCATGGGTGTTTTGAGACTAGTCAATAAAATAGACATAGACTAGGTGTTTGACCCCCCCTTAGTATTGAGGGTGTACATTCTCCTAGTCAGCTTATTCCCTAATGGTTGTGTAAATGGTGGGACAGATGCAGAGTAAAATGAACCTGGGAAAGAAAGTGGCTAAAGAGTTAGTATCACTTTCTTATTTGTCACCTGAGAGATCTTATGTTTCAGGAGGCCATAAAACGGGAACATCTTGTGGCTGAAATTCAGAAGCGACTGTCCCAGTCTTGATCCTTGCCTGATTGCCATCTGGTGCTCTTGGTACAAAAGCTTTCATCTAACACTGAGTTCCTGATACACTTCACAACAGCTGGCCAGTATGGGTGACAAGGGCCTTCAGCCTCCTCGTTCCTTAAATACAGAAGGATGTGGGGACTCCTGGACTACTGTAAACAGCTACTCTGCATGGGGCAGATAGCAGCATGTGAAAGAGACATGCTGTAGCTGAAGGGGCAGATTTGAAGTGCCACCGACACTACCTAGAGGTGCTAAGATTGTTGCTGTGAGCAGGGCTCTGGAAGTCCTCTAAGTTGAAGATACTGAACCACTGAGATCAGAAGCCAGATAGCTTTCCACTTAGCTTTAGACCCGGATTCTGGGAAATTTGTCTACATTCATCCTTTGGCTTATCCAAGGAGTTTTGGGAATACAGCAAAGATGGATAGTGACAACTTGCTGCTTCGAGGACAGAAATACTGTATAATCCTAGGGGTATGGCAGTGCCTATATTAATTTGGTATCTTTTTAGCCTATCCATTGTGAACGGTAGCAGGGCAGGGCTGCTGTGTAACAATCTGGAACACTGAACTTAATAAATGGTTTGGCAGGGTGGAGACCTGGGATTTTGAAGATCATTTCCTGTTCTAGAATTACTGTTCTGACTTTCCATACCTTGCCATAAAGGCTGTTCTTGAAGTGGTTGGATAATATGTTAAATAAAATGTTAAGTATAGTAGTTTGGGTAGTTTGTTATCAAGGAATTAATTTACATAGGCCATAGAAAATGCTTGAGTGTACACTGGGGAATTCTGTGAACTAGGAGTAACCTTCTTGGGGCGATGCAAATGTATACAGCAAGGAAGCAGCCACAGTTCCTGCACCCTCTTTCCACAGCTTGGAGATACAGTCATGCCTAAGAATAAACGTATAGTGAGTTAGGACAGGGGTTTTGAACCCATAGGCTCTGGAGCCTTACTGGCTATTGGGAACTGGGCCGCACAGCAGGAGGTAAGTGGCTGGTGAGCCAGGGGAGCTGCCCAGCATTGCCTGAATTACTGCCTGAGTTTTGCCTTCTGTCAGATTAGCAGCAGCATTAGATTTTCTTTTTCTTTTTTTCTTTTTTTTTGGTCTTTTTTGAGACAGGGTCTGGCTATGCAGTTCAGGCTGGCCTTGAGCTCACTTTGTAGCCCAGGCTGATCTCGAACTCGCAACGATCCTCCTGCCTAAGCCTCCCGAGTGCTGAGCATTAGATTTTCATAGCAGCACAGACTCTACAGTGAACTACCTATGTGAAAGACCTAAGTTGTATGCTCCTAATGAGAACTGAAACCCCAGACCATTCCTCCCCCCAACCCCCTCCCCAGGTCTGTGGAAAAACTCTTCCAAGAAACCATGCAAGTTGCCAGGTGTAATAGTACATGCCTGTAATCCCAGCACTTGGGAAGCTGAGGCAGGAGGATCACTGTGAGTTAAAGGCCAGCCTGGGCTACATAGTGAGTTCAGGACCAGCCTGAACTGCATAGCGAGGCCCTGTCAAAAAAATAACAACAAAATGAAAGTGGTCCCTGGTGCAAAAACAGTTGGTGACTGGTGCTTTAGGGTGTTGCTGATTACTTGCCTTCCTCATTCCAATCTTTGATTAAATTGCATGCTACAGACTGGATGATTATAATGTTCTCCGGCTAAAAGAAGAGTTAACCAGGGTGGCATTGTTAAACAAAACAGTGCAAAAAGCCCTTTTCTTCTGGCTTGAAGCTACACTTCAGCACAGTGTAGCTTTGGGCCAAATACCTAGTGCATGCTGGTCAATGGGATACCTGGAGCCCCTAAAAACACGTGAGCCTTTAAAAGGTTCAGGTAGGAAGGTTGCAAGTTCAAGGACAGCCAGGGTAATTTATTGAGACTGTCTCAAAAAATAAAAGGGGCTGCCGGGCGTGGTGGCGCGATCCTGTAACCCCAGCACTCGGGAGACTGAGGCAGAAGGATCATTGCGAGTTAGAGGCCAGCCTGGGCTACACAGTGAGCTCAAGGCCCAGCCTGAACTACATAGCGAGACCCTTGTCTTAAAAAGACAAAAAAAGCGGGCGGGGGGCGGGGCTGGTGCTGTAGCTCAGTGGTGGAGTTTCTCTAGTTCAATCCCCAGTACACTAGTACCGAAAAGTCTTAGAAGGCAAGGTACGCACAGTTGATTCGCTTACGTCTGCGAGCAGTGCTTCCGAATCTCAGTTTTCGCCTTCGTAAAATAGCCGAGTTGAACTAAAGCTTTCATGCTTGTTTTGAAAGGCAGGGCCAAAAAAAAAAAAAAACACGTTAGCATGCGCCCTTACTTCCGCATTGCTTCACATTCGCTTTGCGTCTGCGCCTTCCTCTTGAAGCAGAGGCGGGGCCGACACGCCTATTTTAGAAGCTCTCCAGTCCTTAGTCCGTTTACAACAGGAGACTCTGAACTTATTGGAGGGCGACCTTGCTTTACGGCTCTCGTCCGCGTTTTACGGCATTTTCCGGCTTCCCATTCACTTCGCTGTGAAGATGGCGTCAGGCAGCGGGGTAGGTGATGTTTGTGAGGAGGAGGAGGAGGTTTGCGGGTTGGGAGGGTGGGTGCCTTCTCAGCGCTGAATAAAGACGCACGCTGCTCCCTGACTGGCTTCCTGACACCTCTTCGCGATCCCAGGGTGCAGGTTTGAGAATTACCCCGTAAGGCCCTGACGCAGGGACCGTGAAGTCGCGGAGGTCTCTTGGGTTGGGGTCTAGAGCCGACCTCAGCTTCCTTCCTGGTGAGGTCCAGAAAGGCTTCGTTTTCTAAAGATCCCGGGGCCGTCTTGTTGGCAAGGACGCGGTTCCCTCAGTTTCTCTAGGGGTCCGGACACGATTAGTGACGGATCTTCAGCGCTTTTTCCCCTACAGACAAAAAACTTGGACTTTCGCCGAAAGTGGGACAAAGATGAATACGAGAAACTTGCTGAGAAGAGGCTCACAGAAGAGAGAGAAAAGAAGGATGGTGGGTGTCCGCTTCATCAAGGGCTCAGGGTGTCGCTGGAGCGATGCAGTGGCTGGAGAGCGGGTGGGGAGTTAAAAGGAAGCTGCCCGCCTACCCGTGTCACTTTTGGCGATGTGGCCCCCGACACCTCGGTTTCCACGTACATAAAATTAGAGCTAGGAGATAGCCTGGAGTGGCTTTGAGTGCTCGTCAGCCGTGTTATACGCTGCTTTCTTGCTCTGTCTTTGCTTGGTCGGTTTAGTGAGGGCCCTGGAATTCTTAGCTGTGACAGAGAAGTTAAGTAGAGTATTTTGTTGTTGAACATTACAGCTATGAATGACACACTCTATTTGAAATTTCTTAAGGAGGAGGAGAACATTCTTAAGCAGAGTCCTTCGTTGTAGTCTGAGAAAAGCTCTGGTACTCACCAGGAGCAAGTGATTGTTTCATTCAGTGCTTAGTGTTGCCATTGCTCTGTCCCTTATAGTGTCAAGGAGCTGTGTGCCTCTCGTAGATAGATTCCTTTTTAGAAAAAGAATACTGGTTTTCAAACATTCTTTTTCCACATTACTAACGTGCTTGTAGTCCCAGCACTTGGGAGGCTGAGGCAGGAGGATCATCTCGAGTTTGAGGCCAACCTAGTGAGACCTTGTCTAAAAAAAAAAATATAAAGCCAACAAGTCTAAAAGAAATGTGTTATCTATACTCATTAATTCACTGATTGAATTTCTATACCACTTGCACACATTTTTAGCTTTTTATGTAAGAGGTATAATATAGTGCTTCATATGCACAAGTATTTTTTTTTGTTTTTGTTTTCCGGTACCGGGAATCAAACTCACAACCTCACGCTTGCCAGGTAGGTGCTGATCCTCTGAGCTAAATCCCTAGCCCCTGCACAAGTATTTTCTAATTGTTGGCCCCCTTTTAAAACTTGACCCAGTCCTCCAAAATCCTTTTATGTGTTATGCTTAGGATATCTGGCTAAAAGCATTATTGAGTGTTCTTGCTCCTCTTTTGAAAAGGTTGCTTCTAGTGAAAATTAGAACTCTGTTTCCACTTCAGTCAATGAATTAATGAGTAGAGAAAACATATTCCTTTTAGACTTGTTAGCTTTATCCTTTTTTTTTTTTTTTTTTAAAACAGAGTCTCACTAAGTTGGCCTAAAACAAAATGATCCTCCTGCCTCAGCCTCGCAAGTGCTGGGATTACAGGCATGTGCCACTGTGCCCGGCTATTCATTTATTTTTTGAGACAGAAATTCACCAGATTCCCTGGGCTGGCTTTGAATTTGTGATCCTGCCTCAGCTCCCAAGGGCTTGAGGTTACAGGTGTGTACCACCATGCCCCATTAGGCTTGCTAATTTTAAAGTGGAGAAAAGCTGGAGAAAGTTGGGGGATGTTTATCATTTTTTCTGTGCTCACATTCTTTGCTGCTGCAAACTGCTACTTGAAGTACCTGTTGTGTCCCATCTTTCAGGAATCAAAGAAATGAGAGTAGTCCTCTGAATTTTGAGTTTTATGTGTTCTTTTCTTTCTGGTTGAGGAACTATAAAGGTACAGTCTTCCCCATCATGTTTCAGGAAAACCAGTGCAGCCAGTCAAGCGGGAGCTTCTGCGGCACAGGGACTACAAAGTGGACTTGGAATCCAAGCTTGGAAAGACCATTGTCATTACGAAGACCACCCCACAATCTGAGATGGGAGGGTAGGTGGTTTTTTGTTTTTCTCTAAAGCACAGAATAGGTTTAATAAACTACCTTTGTTGGGTTTAGAAAGTGTTGAGGAGGGTCCATGGTCCCAGGATAACAGCTCATTGCCCATAATTCCACTCTTAGATTTTTTTCACCCAAGGTCTCCAAAAGGGGTTTTGTGAGCTTCTTCATATTGGAATTGTAAATACTCCTGAATATTTTAACAGGGATTATTGGTGCTGTCAGAAGTTAAGCAACTACTGAGGACTTTTCTAGGGGGAGAAATTAGGTGGACTGGGAATGGAGCCAAGAAACTGTTAATGATGAAAAAAGGGGTGTTGAGGTTCTAGAATAGCTAGAAGGCTGTAAATGTTATGGAAGGTGCCTGATTGTGCACTTTTTTCCTAAACCAAGGCTTGAATCATCAGGAAGAAGGGTTCTACAAAAACTTACTGCCCCTTTGCCCACCGCTTTTCTCTGTCCAGTTAGGATTTCTAGCAGGAGGACAACACAGATAGCAGTTAGTTAATACTTCCTCTGAGCTGTTTATAATCCCATTATTGTCATTCTTCTCAGTATTAGTTATCCTTTACTATATAAATTAACAAATTAACAAAACTCAAATTTTGGCAACATAAAATAACAACTCATAGTGTCTGTGGGCAGAAGATCTGAGAGAAGTTTACCAAGGTGATTCTGGCTTATGGTCTCTCAGGAAGCTTTGTTCAAGGAGTTGGCTGAGTCTGCATGTATCTGAGGCTTAAGTGAGATTGGAAGATCTACTTTCAAGCTGTCAAATGCCTATGGTTTGGAGGCTAAAACTCTGTACCCCATGGGTCTCTTCATATGACTGTTCACAAGAAATCAAAGGGTTCCTCAGAGCAAATAATCCACACAAAATTAGAAGGTACAGTTTTTTATAACCTAGTCTTGGACGTGCTATGCTGTCACTTTTGACAGAACTTCCTGGTCTCACAGACCAACCCTGGTACAGATTGGCAAGATCCTACACAGGATGGAAATACTAGGAGAGCAGGGCTTGTAGTCGGTCTGCCTTGGAGGCTGGCTACTACTCTCTCCCAGGAGTGAAGGCTGTGTGGAAAAATGTATTTCTTTTTGAAAACCAGATTCTTAAAACTGAATTTGACTTACCTGCTGTTTCCTACCATCTGTCAGATATTATTGCAATGTCTGTGACTGTGTGGTGAAGGACTCCATCAACTTCCTGGATCACATTAATGGAAAGAAACGTAAGGCTTAGAGGTAGTTTGTGACTGGGGATGGGATTGGGTTTTGGTGGTGATGTAGAAGGAAAAGGTAGCTTCTCTTGGACTCTTATTTGATCCCTGGGGAATTCTCCAGTTGTTTTGTACAGACCATTCTTTAGATAATATTTTTGGAGGCCACAAAGTGAGTTACTGCCCAGAGGTTCCCTTACTCCCCCTCCTTTTTTTGTGGTGCTAGTGAATATTCTAGATTCTCAACAACTCAAACTACTGTTTGGTCTTTTGGGCCTGTGTAGCCCCACTTGGTGTTCATCTGCTCAGTAAGAGAGTAAGGGCAGTTGAAACCCACCTATATCTTGTCTGGGTATGCTGCCTCTAGGAACAGAGGAAGCCAAGAGTTTCTCTTAACACGTACTTTTGCTGGGTATCTTATTAAAAATATGGTCAGGCATGGTGGCACACACCTATAATCCCAGGACTCAAGAGACTGAGGCAGGAAGATCCCTGTGGATTCAAGAGCAAACTGAACTACGTAATGAGACCCTTACACACAAAAAAAATTGCTTTTTTTTTTTTTTGAGGTGCTAGGGGTAGAATCCATGGTTTCATGTTTGTTTTTTTTTAAAGGCCAGAACAATACTTTTTTTTTTTGTGCCAGGAATCAAATTCATGACCTCTCGATTGCCAGGCACATGCTATCCACTGAACTATATCTGCTGCCCTTTTTTTTGGTTTTTGAGAGAAGATCTTGTTATCTAGTTTATGCTGACCTCAGACACACTATGTACCCTAGGTTGTCCACAAACTTGTGTCTGGGGTTGAGCTTATAGGTGTGTACCACCATGCCTGGCCAGGACAAGACTTGAGGGGCTCAGGATGTTGTAGTGACATTGCCATCTTCACTGTTGGCCCTACCCAGATCAGCGAAACCTAGGCATGTCTATGCGTGTGGAACGTTCTACCCTGGATCAGGTGAAGAAACGTTTTGAGGTCAACAAGAAAAAAATGGAAGAGAAGCAGAAGGATTATGATTTTGAAGAAAGGATGAAGGAACTCAGAGAAGAGGTAAGGCTGTCCTAGCTTTACTTTTCTCAGCTTTGCATTGTAACTTGTACATCAAAGGTGGCCCTCACCTTCATCTCACTCTACTGCCTCCCAGTTGTGTCCCTGAATTTCTGCATACTAGGGAAACCTTTATTGCTCTTGATTGAGACACTTGTGAGCTAAAGGAAATGGCTGTAAGTCTACCCTCTCCTCCTGACTCTTTGGGCTATGCCTGTTTTGGGTAATTATTCTTTCACTTAATATTTTTTAGAGCAGTTTTAGATTCACAGCAAAATTGAGAAGAATAGAGACTTCCTGTTTCTTTCTTGCTTCACACATGCATAGCTCCCTCCCCCTTTTTACTGTAGGAGGGAGTTAAGCGCCTAAGAGGCTGGCAGGGTTAGAATTGTTTCCTGCACTTACTGTGAACCTTGGGCAGTTATGTAAACCTCACTTTCTTCATATTAGAGATCTTAGTGTAATGTACACGAAGTACTCATCAGTTCCTGGTATGTTGAGTGCCTCAAAATGTTACATGATTTTGCTTCCATAACCCTGCTAAGAACTAAGAGATGAACTGAGGTGTATGATGGAGAACTGTACAGAGGCTAAAGCTTATTTCTTGTCCTTTATAATCTTTACTGTGGCTTTTATTCTGCCCTTGAGATTTTATTTTACTTTCTCCTTTTCTTTTTTTTTTTTTTTTCAGACAGGGTCTTGCTATGTAGTGCAGGGGCTGCACTACTTGAACTCACTGTGTAGCCCAGGCTGGCCCGGAACTCACAGTAATCCTCCTGCCTCAGCTTCCTGAGTGCTGGGATTACAGGCGTGTGCCACCATGTCTGTCTCTATTTTATCTTCTCCTAAAGATAGAAAGGAATTTTGAAGCTCACATTTCTTTTGACAACATTTGGCTGAGGAATCTGAACTGATTCTGAATGATTTCCACCCCTGCAGGAGGAGAAGGCTAAAGCATACAAGAAAGAGAAACAGAAGGAAAAGAAGAGGAGGGCTGAAGAAGATTTGACATTTGAGGAGGATGATGAGATGGCAGCTGTGATGGGCTTCTCTGGCTTTGGTTCCACCAAGAAGAGTTATTGAAGCTTCTTGTACTTGGCCTAATTTTGGCCTATGCTGGACCTAACATTTTGTGTGTGTTGGGGAGGGGAGGCTCATTTCTAAGTACTTGGTAAAGATCTTAAGAGTGTCAGTGGGCAGGGAGGAGGGTGGGGGTGTGGTTTCCTTCTGTGTTGGGAGAGGGCACAGGGTACAGAGGTAATGCTGTGGCATTTTCATTCAGTCTCAGTATAGCACTGGAGTCACAGGACCTTTGCCTGAGTTCCCAATAAAGACAGACCTCCCCTTCTAAGGCTGCTTTCCCGAAACTCCCCCTGCATCTTTCCCTTTTCATCTACTCAGCCTCTTGCCTGAGCATCCTATCTTTATTCTCTGTTCTGTTGTAATTTTGACTCCAGCCTGCAACAGAAGGGTTATCTTAGTGCCCCGTTTCCGGTCGATGGCATATCCTTGATCAGTCCTTCCCTTTCCCATTCCACCTCCTGGGTCTGTAGCCACATGTGCATGCATGTGTACTTCTGCCTGGATTAGTGGTGTGTGTGGATATGTATGTGTGCATGAATCTGTCACAAAGAGGGGTCTTGAGCTAGAACCTCAGAGCATTGCTTTCCTAGGGCCTGATGTTCTTGGTTTCCTCAGCGCGTGTAACAGGAAATTAAATGGGATGAGTGTGGTATGGTTTGTGTCTGGTGAGCTTTTAACATTGTTCTTCAGATGTAGGCTGTTTCAGCTTCTGCTGTTTGTTTTATTTTGCTGAGGATTTCTTTGTCTTCCTTGTGAGCAGGCTCTTGGAAGAACCTGTTTGAAGCAAAAAAGAAAATGAAAAATGAAAAAACACAAAATGCAAGCAAACAAACTCACTACGGGAGCCCCTGGGTCTCAGAGGCTGTTCAGCATGTGTAATAAATGGCATTGACTGGCTCGTTTCACATTTGGTGGGGATCTTCCATAGTCTTCCCTCTGTGTGTGTGTGTGTGTGTGTGTGTGCGTGTGTGCATGTGTGTGTTTCTTGGTACTGGGAATCAAACTCAAGACCTTGTGCATGCCAGGCAGGTGCTTGTGCTACTGAGCTATATCCCCAGCCTGTGTGTGTGTTTATGTCCTCACACTGAGAATTACCATGTGGAGCCTTTTTTGCCCTCCATTTGACCCTGGTCACTTTATTTTAGTCTAGATTCTTTCAGCATGAGTTACATAAAACTGGTGTCATAGTTTAACCTGATTTGCACTTGAGCAGCAGGACCCAGTGTAGAGGTTAATTTTTCCTATTACCTACAATTGGGCTAGGTACCTGGTTAATCAGTCCTGTCACTATCGGGCTAGATAAGTCTTTCTTTTTTTTTGTGTGTGTGAGACAGGTTCTTGCTGTGCAGTTCAGGCTGGCCTTCAGCTCACTTTGTAGCCCAGGCTGGCCTCGAACTCGCAACGATCTTCCTGCCTCAGCCTCCCGAGTGCTGGGATTACATGCCCTACCATGTCTGGCAGATAAGTCTTTGTTAAAGAAGCTGTTCTGTGCATTGTGGGGCATTTAGTGGCATCCCTATCCTCTAGCTACTGGATGCCCTTAGTGCCTCTTCCCTGATTTTGTAACAACTAAAAATGTATTCCTAGGCCAGGTGTAGTGGTGCACGCCTGGAATCCCAGCACTCAGGAGACTGAGGCAGGAGGATCATTGCAAGTTCAAGACCAGCCTGGGCTACAAAGTAAGCTCAAGGCCAGCCTGAACTGCATAGGGAGACCCTGTCTCAAAAAGACCAAAAAAAAAAAAAAAAAAAAGGGAGGTGGCACATTCCCTTCTACTCAGCCTCCATTTAGAACCACTGAGAAGCTGCTGCCTTAAGAATTATATGACATAGACTGGTTAAAAGCAAAGCCTCCAAGCCTTTATTAACTCCTGGGTAAGATACTGTAGTAGGTCTAGAGAATGCAGAGGGGAAAAACAAAAGTTGTACACAAAAGAGAGAAGTCATGTAAACTTGAAACATGCTCTGAAATTTTTTGCTTGTTCTGTGCCTGGAAAAGGAGACCTGTTTGGGCTAATAAGCCGGCTATTGTATGACTTGTTCTTTGTCCCATGTAGCTCTTCACACCTTTCTGCAGCATGGGAACCTGGGGTCTTACAGAGCACTGCTTTCTTTCCTGTGTAATCTGTATAGGCATGCCTTTTGCCTAATCCAGATACTTAATCTAGCCACTAGGGACACTGTCTCCCTTGTGGTTGTGAAGATTGGGCTCAAGATGTTAAATACAATGTGTGTTGGTCAATTGGGGTTAGATTAGTGGGTACTATTCCTGGTGGGGTTGTATGCATTCTAGGTTCTTGGGTAAAAGTCTGCCCTTGTTGACTGGGTCTTGTTACATTTTTTGTTTTTCTTGAGATGGGGGTCTCACTGCTCAGTTCAGAATGGCCTTGAACTTACTATGTACCCCAGGCTGGCCTCAAACTCTCAGCAATCCTGCTTCAGCCTCCCAAGTTCTGGGATTACAGGGTGTGCCACCACACCCAGCTCTTGTTAGCTTTTTAAAAGACAGACAGGACAAAGTTTCAGTGAGGGGAGCACTTTTTGTGGCTCAGTATTTGTCATTTAGGAAACCATCTTACTCAGTCCCTCTACTACGGTGGGATTTCACCACTGGTCATCTATACCAGCAACATAAAAAGCAATTCTGACTTGGAGGTATTCTAAACCTGGAAGGGCAGATAATTTGAATCTTGAAGGGATTTGTCTAGGTCTTGGGTTGTTTGAAGGGGCTTAAAGTGGTGGCTTGAAAAAGGGGAGGTGGCAGTGGAAAATTCAGGAACGCAGAACATTACTCAGAAATCCTCGAAAGGGGAACTTATTCGATGTTTCAGGTCTTTCTAAAATCCATGGGAATTTTTAATTCTAGTTGAGTGTACCTTTAATTTCTCTCTATGTGTTCAGTCATTCAGCAAGTGCTTAGGAGGTGAGCATGTTATAGTCACTGCTAATATCTTCATGGGCATGGGGCCAAGGTCCCAGAGGTCATGGGATTCATACTTGGGTGGAATTGCTCTGTAAAGTGTAGTACTGAATTTAGGGAAGAGGCTGTCTATGGTGCTGCAGCACTGTAATCCTACAACTCAGGAGGCTGAGGTGAGAAGATTGCTGAGAGTTCAGGCCACCCAGGTCTACATAAGGAGTTCATGTCAGCCTGAACTATGTACCAAGCACCTTTCTTTAAATAAATAAATAAATAAATAAATAAATAAATAGATAGATAGATAGATAGATAAACCTTTAGGAAGAAAAGATGTATTGTCAGATGAACCTGTGGTTTGGGCACCTTTAGGGCTTCTAGCATTTATCCCAGTTATCCGCATTTTAATGTGGAGCTTCTTTCCATTTACAAATATCTATAGAAAACCATATTGTGTGCTTAGTATACCTGAATCCCTGGGCTTCATCTCTAGTACTATAAAAGCCCATGTTAGGGGCTGGGGATTTAGCTCAGTGGCAAAAGCGCCTGCCTGGCAAGCGCAAGGTTGTGAGTTTGGTTCCCGGTACTGGAGGAAAAACAAAAAAGCCCATGTTTTTGAACAAATAACATACTTGCATAAGGATATTCACTCCAATTTTAGATATTGAAATGGTTAAAACTAGTAAATACTGGAATATAGTGCAGCTGTTACAAAATATGTGAATCAAGTGTGTACTTATAAGAAAGCTCTCCAACACATACTATTAGGAAAAAAAATAGATCTGCAATCCTGGCCCTCCGGAAGGTTTAGGTAGGAGGATCACAAGTTTGAGCCCAGTGGGCTATTGATTTATTTTTGGTATTTTGAAGACAGGGTCTTTCTAGGCAGTGTGGGCTGGCCTTGAACTCACTATGTAGCTCAGGCTGGCCTTGAACTCCTGGCGATCTTCTTGGCTACACCCTCTTCAAAACAATACAAAGGACTGGGGATGCCAGTCAGTGCCAAGGCAATCTGTAGTACCACGAAAACAAATGAAACAAACGCGAAATGAAAGCCCTCAACAGACAGATTTTCAGGGGAAAATTATATATGGTGTATACAGTTACATATACGGATGGAGGGAAAGCACAAAATATTAATAGCGGAGAAGGGAGAAAATCAGGTTGTGGGGGAAAAGCTATCTACAGTGCACGTGACGGGACTAGGCATGAAGAGGCCAGCGTCCTGGCGAGTGGCTCGTACTCCAGGCTAATTTCAGAACTGCAATTTGGACAGAAGGAGCTACTGGTCGTAACCTTGTGTGGAGAGCAAAAAGAAAAAACTCCACAGATACAGCACAGTGTTGTTAGAGCGCCACTGGAGTACATGTAGCACCACAATAGAAAAACGAACCAGGAGGTAATGGTCGAAGTAGGCAACCTCTGGGATAGGGGTGATGGCGTTTTCTAGGGTGAAGCAGCAGAGTTCCAAGACGCGGCAAGGAAGAGTGTGCGTGCTGTGAAACGTCCCCCTAGGAGAGGGGTCGGGCGGGGAGCGCAGGAGCTTCCGCGCGCATAGGAGCCCGCGTACATGCGGGCTGGGGGACACAGCCTGGGGTCCTGGGACTGCGGGGCACGCTTGCCCGGGAGGGAGGCACTTCCTGCGGGGCGGAAGGAGAAGAGCACGCGGGGGGCTGGGATGAACGAGTTCTTGGGGTAGGGGGCGAAAGAGGCCGGAGCCCCGGCGGCTGTGCTCCCCCAGAGGTGCGTGGAGGAGGCGGCTGGGAGAGCTAGGAAGTAAAAGCAAGCCCATAAAAACTGCCTCCGCCTTTGTGACGCAATTTCCTGGATAAACTCATGAGGAAAACTTCAGAGAATACCAACGGGGCTAGCTTTAGCTCAGCGGTTCCTTCGAACATTCAAAGTTAATCACATGGTCTGGTGGCTTCCACTAGTCCAGTGGTTCGAGACCGCGGGCGCTCTCTACCCCTTTTGGTGCTGCTGCCAGCACAGACCCAAAGAGCATAGATACGTAGAGCCGCAAAACGCAAGGCTTACAAAGGGTCCAGGGTACAGCAAAAGAGCCACTCTTCCCTTTTCAATCGCTTTGCAGATTTGGTGAACAGCCAAATCGTACCTTTCCTCGAATGCTACGGGGGAAGGAAGGAGAATTAAAATGTGTTACCTACATGTACCACGTCCCCACGGGGAGTGTAATCGTTATGTCCTCCTAAACATAAAGGTCGTCTGTCTTTTCTACGTCTTATAAATGTGGTCTTCTGCTTTCTTTGCGATATGGCTGGTTTTCTCTTCAGCACTTCCTGAGCTTGACCCTTTCGGTTTTGA